CGGGGAATCCTAAGCGAGAGGGGGGTCAACCCAAAATGGAGAGGGATTACGACCCCTTCTTATCCTGGTATGACCCCCCCCCCTCTCCTGCTTGGGACTCTCCGAGAGGGGAGAACTCGTTCCTGCCCATTGCTGAGTATATTCCTTGCGAGGTTACATAGAGAGTAACGAGTTCTTTTACAGCTCATTGTGAACGTCATCCATAATACCCTTCGAGCGAAGGAAATGTGGCAGAACTGGCCGCTAATGAAGCGTCAAACGTTCGCCACCAGAATTCTAACATGCGTCGAACGAGCGATGACCTCTGCCTCAACCACGGTCCATTCGTCTGAGAACTATGTGCAGCCGTTGGTGATGGCAGAGATGAGCGAAAGCATCAGGGTGCGTTAAGTTCATGGCTTAATCCGCTGATGTCTTCGAGTCCGTTCATGTTCATTTTCATTGTAGACCTCATCACAGCCGTCGAATTACTTTCTTTTCCCGTCGATGGCCCTCTGGGCCGGCGAAAACAACGTGGACAGTGTGGATGTACCGAAGGAAGCACTTGAGCTGACAGGATTGGGTGCGTCATCGACTGCTAAGTGTATTTGTGACTGTGAGCACTTGGGTTTCTGTATTTAACGCTGACAATATTTGTCACGGTTAAGAACAGTGCTATACAATCCTACTAGATAACGAAGTAACGTCTTGTAACTGGTTACGTATGGAAATGCTTGCAGATCGCGCCCGAGTATATTACGCGTCCTTCGCCAATATTGGTGAAGAAATGGAGCCACCGGTGGAAACTTTACCTACTTCTGAAGAGCAACCGAGTGGTGTAGAGCGACGCCGTCGAGTCGTTTCCCGTGTGGTGGCCGCTTCGATCGTTCTCGATGGGAAAACGATCAAACTGCCAGTGCTTCCTAAACCGGTAAGACCATAAGAATTTCTCTGAGAGCAGATTCTTCTAGTAAGTTTCCCCTTTTCATGAAGCTCCTTTCAAACGTTCCGAAACTTGGGAAAGAGGCTGGAATGCAGGAAAACAACCCGTCCTCAAAACTTTCGCGCCTGGTTTCTCTACTTTCGCTCTAAAAGTCTATAATTCGTGGATGATCAGAGGACAGACCCCAGAAGGAAGTGTTGCTTGGGATGCGCCATGCATTCTACTACTATTCATAGTCGTGGCTTTCGGACCCATTTGGGCTGTGCATTGGGCGGAATTTTGCCCTCCGTGACAGTCTTGTGTGAACTAAACGGCTCAGGGACAGAGGGTGGTTGAACCGAGCGGTAACCGATCGGGGCTTCAACTTCCTAATAATTGTGAGAGTGGTAACGGCGGCTTTTGGCACGACACCACGTCCGCCTTATCATTTAAAAATATTTTCATGAAACTACAAATTTAACGGTTTCTCAGAGAACTTTTATCAACTTGCAATACTCAGAACTGACTTTTTTCCTTTAGCTTATCATCACATTCCATCACTACCCTGAAGCTTTACGACGAATGACCTCGCCTGAATGCTCGTGGTGGGATACTAATGATATGAAGGTGAGTCTTATACTGTCTTGTTCACTGAGAAATCACTTACTCAGCTGTATTCCAGTGGTCTACAAGCGGATGCGCTCTTCAGTCACATAACTCTACTCATACCGTATGCGCTTGCAATCATATGACCCACTTCGCTGTTCTTATGGATTACGTCGGTCATGAGGTAATTTTATCAGGTTATCTCTGAGCCTTCAGTCTAATCTAGGTTCGCTGCCTTATTCGTTATGTCAACGTTACATTATGGGGTACGCCGCGACGTCCCGCGTCGTATCATAGACCGCCAGTATTCAGGAATCGCGTCCTAGGCACCGTCCGAACTTCACGATGAGCATGCGTCACGCGGCGTCGGGAACGCGCTACACACGCGCTCCACTGCTATAAACGGTTGGAAAATCGCTCAGCTATAACGGTTTGTATGTCTCTATTCTCGTGTGTCGGCACCTGCTGCTACTACTTTGAGAGAGTATGGGAGAATATTAGGGCATTAGACGTGCGATCAAGCACCGCGTACCGTGGTCATCCCTCATACTCTCCCAAAACACTGAACGACGTCCGATACCTGTCTATGGCCGCGTTCCTATAGCATCGGAGCGCGTCCACGCGCGTCGTCGCGAAGTCTTACGCTGTTTTATACCTGCCCATGCACGACTTCCACGTTATTTCTCCATTCTTTTTTTATGTTGAATGGCATTTAACGATGGGGATTAGGCTTTTCGCTCATGCCGCGGAAGGGAACTAGAGTGTGAGCAAACCATGTTCTTTGCGCAAAATTGGGTCATCGCGTTTCGTGGAAAGTGGAGTTAGTTTCCCCTCCCATCCCCTCATGTCAGCGAGTTTTTGTAGAGCGTGGGTCCTAACACGTAACCTAGTGGACCACGGACCTATATTTTTATCAACGCAGTCTCCTGTAATAATTTTATCGTTCAGATTTCGTCCACGGATAATCAACTTCTCACATTTCTCACATATGCCGGTTGCACGTTGTCAATAGTCTGTCTCACCTTGACATTCCTCTGTTTCGTTATTTTTGTCAAAGGAGGAGGCGATAGGTACGAGTTTTCCACTTTTTCTTCCTATTATTTTCGAAATCTCCTAAATATCGTGTGCAGTAAGTTACGGAGTGAATTTCAGGGTTTTTATTCATAAAAATCTTTGCCTTTCTCTTGGTATAGCCGAAGTGGTGTTTCTGGCAGGAATTTGGAGAACTGAAGAAAAGGTGTGTTGAGAACGCTTTTGCTAGAGATTCCTTCCTGCTTTCTAATTTTTCTGGAATCCAAGTAGTAACGGAACGGTTTTCAGTTCGAATGCGGTATGATTGCTGGCTGTCTCCTTTATTTCTTCCTGTCAGCCTTGACATGGATGTTACTTGAAGGTTATCAACTTTATCAAATGCTCGTTGAG